TGCGACCAAGCGCATTGCTGCAATTCCTATTTTCTCGCGACAAGCGGACCTATCCGTTAAAATCTTTTTTATTCGTGTACATCCTATTACAGTTATACATTACGCGAAAAAAATTTTTTTTTGTTGCTTCTTGATACTGCGATAGCTGGTATTGATCTACGGGTGTTGAAGAAGTATATATTATCCGTAGAGTCTTTCTTCTGTGAAACGAACATATAATAATCATTCTTGTTCGCTCGTTAGACTTGTCGTCCGCGAAATAAGCTCGCGATGATCGCTTTACCGAGAAACACCGGACGTATATATTCATAGCGGCCGCCGTTGCATGTATGTAACGCGCATCATTGATTTCTCTTCATTCGGATCATTTGCAAGGTCGCGGTGTCAAACCCCCCGATGCGTTCCTCCCAATCCACTCCCCTCTTGAAACTGTGAAAGGCCTGGGGTACGCAGATTTTTTTTTGTTGCTTCTTGATACTGCGATAGCTGGTATTGATCTACGGGTGTTGAAGAAGTATATATTATCCGTAGAGTCTTTCTTCTGTGAAACGAACATATAATAATCATTCTTGTTCGCTCGTTAGACTTGTCGTCCGCGAAATAAGCTCGCGATGATCGCTTTACCGAGAAACACCGGACGTATATATTCATAGCGGCCGCCGTTGCATGTATGTAACGCGCATCATTGATTTCTCTTCATTCGGATCATTTGCAAGGTCGCGGTGTCAAACCCCCCGATGCGTTCCTCCCAATCCACTCCCCTCTTGAAACTGTGAAAGGCCTGGGGTACGCAGGGTTAGCGCCACGCTCCTCATGTACACGTCGAAAACTGGTTTCTGCGGCGCATTACCAAGTTCATCGTATTTACACACCGAGCACGTATATTATCGGCGGGAAGTAAGACATTAAAATATGCTTCGTTCCACGTACAGCTTCATTTAGCCGTTTCTTTGCCTGCGCTGCGCGTCTAGTGGAACGAGCGGAACTTTATTAACCCAACGTCATCCCGCGCAGAAAGAGTAGCGGAAGGTCCATTCTCCGCGGGGGAAAAGCAAGAGCGAGCGGCTGCATCCGAAGCGGGGAGAAGAAGAGCGTAAAAGCGGATCGAAGGGGAAGACAGAAGGGAATAGAAAAGCCCGGGGACGCGAATCCGCGAGGGAGAAAAAGAGAGAAATACGTAGCTAGACGCCGGGAAAAGAAACATGGGTTGTATCCACGACATCTGGTACGCGCCGACGATAAGTCTCCTTCAGCGGGAACGATGTCGGCGATGGGAAAGGACGAGGAAGAAAGGACGGCAGGAGGGGCAGGGGGAGGGAGGCCGTCATAAATGTACCGCGGCAGATCAGTCAGATCGTAAGGATCGCGCCCGCGCTTTTACGGCGCGGCTCAACTTGATCCTCCTGTCTGCTTTATAAGTCGGCCGCGGGCTCTCTTCTCTCCCTCTCCTCTCTCTCTTTCTTCATCTTCCTCATTCTTCCGGTTAGTCCTAACATCCGTAGGTACGCGCTTCCGTATGAGTTTACGTACACAGATGTGTGGCGTGTGGCGGTTGAGAAATGTTTCCAATTTCATTCAAACCGGTTGTGAAATGGAAGAGAGCCTCGTAGCGCGGCCCGGTTACGTGACGGACATACCGGAAAACCGAACTTTTGGCAAATACTGGTTAGAGACGGGACGCAATGCTGCAGCACTCTATGGAGCTTCGCGCGCTTCCTCTGACAACGATCATTTCTCTTTTCGCGCGTTTTTGATCTAGGATTAATAAAATCCAACGGCGATGTACCGATGTTGTTCTTCGCGACGCGTTTATTGCAGAGTTTTTCATATTTATGCACAATTACTTTCCATTTATATAGAAATTTATATTAACGGCATGAACAATTAGATTCTGTATATATATAGGAAACTATATATGTGTGAGGATTTTTCTGTATTAATAGAATAGAAATTCACAGAAAGAGCTTATGATTTTATATCTTTGACTATCAAACAGTTGGATTCATGAATAATACGTTACATGATAGAATTTATATGGAAATAAATATGTTTTCGAATATGTTTAACGAATAAATCGGATAAAAGTTTATGGTTTCTGTCTTACATTTACAAAATTTATTTAATAAGACTGAGACATTAGATTTTATACATTCTCATTAGAATATAACATCATTCCATATTTAACTTTCTAATTTGTGCATGATAGCTTTCAATGCATTAATTAATTTATGTGTATTCCGAAGAATTGTGCATTAATCACGATATTAATTCTTAGGTAATTTATTATTGTAATAGTAATCGATACATCATAAATATTTTTATCAATTCCAAACTAACATAAATATTACCTAGTGTTCTTGGCAATAATTAATTATTAGAGTCATTTATTATTATAGCTCGTAGCCGCGACTACGAAAGAGGAAGGCCTTTCAACTTCCCAGTTATTAAGAAAGACAAAGAATCAACAAGTAACTTCCTCTGCTATCGATATATCTCGGGTCAAACGATGCCCCTCGTTTACCAAGAATCAACGTTGCGAGCATTTATTACCAAATCTATAATGACGACATACTATCGTAAAAGACGGAGATTATTGGTAGCTGATAACGCGGCGTATATCAAAGTTGTCTCAGGCGTTTTATCACTCAGGCTGGTCGACAGGTAAATAGAAGTGCGTACAGATAATATACGGCGGGGGACTTACATGTTGATGCAATTTCTTCAAATTACGTTACGCTTCTGCAGATTAAAATTTATCGATACGCCCATTCCTTTTCCTATTTGATTAAACGAGAGAGAGAGGGAGATAAAAATTGAATATAACTTTTCTCACATTTTTGTCTGCTCGACAAAATTCAGCAAGAGATTAGCAGCATCGAGGTCTTTAGTTTCGTATCTGACGCTCGACAGGAAACGGGATTAGCTCTCGTGATCAGCTGCGGTCAGGAAACAAGATCAAGCAACGTGGTATGCACGTTCGAAACCGGAAAACGGCGCCGCACGACGCTTGTTGGAGGAACGGGCTCGGTGATATATCTTGATGCTTGGCGTCTTACGTATATATACCCAAGTATATAAATTTACTCTTTGTTTCTAACCACGACTATTATTACTTTCTAATAAAGCGATATTGCTCCGTATAGCGCGGCCCGTGTTCGCGCGAGCAAATGATGTGGAACGATGAGTTAACGAGGCCGTATGCCTCTTATTGCTCCACCTTCGCTCCAATGCTCGTTCCTACCTGCCACTATCGTAACGATCCGTTTGTTTTACTCGTCGACACACGAAGCATCATCCGCGCGGTTCACGGACGGCACAGCTGGTCGAATGCTGCGCGCGCCTCGAACACAATGTAGCTAAAGAAAACCCTTCGTCCGCATTTCCGCGTTACTTGTCTTTCGATGCAAAAGAAAATGTAATTGGAAAAGCCGGACAGAATGCAAAAACGAATACTCGAATTATCGGGAAACATTTTTGCAGGTTTATTAATGCGCTCCAGCGTATCGCGAGATCGTATTTCTCGCTTTGGCGCGCGCGCGCGCACCTGACGTTACATCGTGCAAGTCATGGTGCAAAATGTACGAGCGGTATGTGTGTAATTGGTCTATCGAGGTCATATACGTGGCAATTGCCTACCTATTAACCGCGTAAGAATTATTGTACTTCCGCTCTAATGCGTTTTCGCTCTAGCTCACCCACGATACTTTACGCGTCGCAAAGAAAGGAGAGAGGATTAAACTATTTTTTCGTACGATCTAATGGGATCGCAAAGTCAATTCCCGTGTTACCTTATGTGGAAAACGCGGAAGTAATAATCACAGTTCTATGAGCTCGGTCGTTTTGAACGCGTACCGGTACGTTCCATTATTTAATGATCCATCTTCATATATTTGAATGGAAGAACGTCTGTTCTCAATCATGTATATACGCGCGTCATCTGCGAATATTTTTCTATTTCCTTTTTTTCCGTTTCTCTTTCTAATCTTATATAAGGCGGATTTCGCGAGAATTTACACGACAAGAATGTATTCAACTATTTAAACGTATTCATATAAAAGTTATATTTATTGCAATGTCCGTCAAATAATTGATGAAAATCGAAATATCGAAGGATACGGATGATGATCGAACGAATCCCGCTCTTAAGCTCGAACTCAGCACCGAGAGTAATCTTACGCTCCCTATTATGGAACACGCGAAAGTAATGATCGCTGCCAGACCAATGTGCCCGCGTGCCAGGCATGTCACGGCACGTCATCGCCAAGACGGCGGCGCATCATCGACGCGACCTATTACAGGCCAGGCAAATTGCTTTCCATCATAAAATCCGTCCGAATGATTGATTAGCATGAAGTCAGATCGCCCGGTTGACTCGTGCTCGCTTCCATCTTTCGTCTTTTTTTCCATCCAGCCGCGCGTATTTCGAGGAGTAAACGCACGTGGCGCGTTTCCAAGATGTTGACAAGCCTCGACATTATCGGCGTCAATCATTTCGATCATCTCAAGACCTTGTCGTTTTCAGCTGTCGTATGACCGTCAAATTAATATCAGTATTTATCAGTATATATATATAACGGATGCGAAGCAACCACGCGTATATATCATATATATATGTATATATGATATCATATCTGTCCACGGTTCTATAAAATGATAGTTTTTGCTCTTGCAGTTCTTCCTTTATTGCACTTCGCATCCTCTTACAGCTGCGACGCGCGAGATGATCGAGTACCAAGACGTTCTTGTTAGAACGGTGCCAAGAGGGACATTTAGCGCAAGTGTGCCGACTACATTTATTTTGTTGAAAATAGTTTTTCATTGCTAGCAGCGCTATGTTTATCTAACGAAAGTAAAATCTTATCTGTTTCCATCGTTCGACGATTAACTATTTTTTGATTGCGTATTTATTGTTTCTTTCGTATGGACTGTTTAATCAAGTATTGGATCCGATTTTTAAAAATGATATTTATCTCAGAATTATGCAATGTGTTGAGACTTACCTTGCCAGTAGTGGCCGATTTGTAAAGTGGTCCCATGATGACGTGATCGGTAGGGCAGCCGTCGGAATCGATTAGGATGATTTCGCTGGAGTCGACACCGTCCATGGCGACTAGCTCACGAACGAAAATCTCGTACGGGCTGTTGGGATCGAGGATCTCGAATTTAAGCGCCAGAGGGTCGCCGACTTCGGCTGACGGGATACCCTCGTTTCCGCTGCGATCGGTAATCTTCATGGCGACATTCGGTGAGTCGACGATCACCTCCTCCGACAACGCGGGCGTGATATCGCCGTGTACGCCGAGATCGACTTCATTAGACACAGTCTTGTTAGTGAGGTCGTACTGACAGGTCACAGCCAATCCGAGATCAGAACTGGTGACGATAGTGTCGTGATGTTGAATAACCACGTCGTTCAAGTACCGGCCGAGACCCTGCTGCCTTATGTTACACTCGAGATCGTCGTATGCCATGCGCAGCTCAAACTCAAGCGCACCTTTGACATCTTGCACGCACGAGTTGGGCGAACCTTTTGCGTATACCTTGCCGTAGAAGAGCTTGCTCGTTTGAATTCTGGTCACCATATCGCCGGCGCGGCAATCGATGGTCACGTTGTAGCAGGAGCTCAGTTCGTACGTGGACGCCTCCGGTACATCGAGATACGGTTCCTGAAATTATCGTTTATTTTTTGGACCGTTACTCATTGCTCGCGCCGAGTATCGTTTGACGTAAATCGCGCATTAATGCGATTTGCCGTATTAATTTAAAAGAATTATAGCGGGCGCGATAGTGATAAATTTCAAAGTACGCGAAGCATGCGGATGTTTCGCAATTAAACTTCACGAAGCTACTCCACGATTTATTGATCACTCTTCTATTTTGTTCGCTTTACGTGGTTGGGAGATTTTGATAGCTTGCATCGGGCTTACACAAAAATTCCCAGGGAATTTATGACGAAAATCGAACAGCGGACCAAAAGGGTGCATCGAAATTCCACGCACTGTATTGATCTTCAGTGATATAGCACGCATAGCAATTAATATGTTACAATATTCTACAAAAAACATAAGTTAAAAAGCGTATAATATCTGTAATTTTATACAGAAAATACTGTCAATGGTATTTCTAATTTTTTTAATTTTTTGCGTCTCCATCTAACAAAAACTATTATTTTGTTATGCTACCTGTTATTTTGTATCTTATCAAGTTGATTCCCATATTTCTGATGCAATATGTGACACAAAATGATAATTTATTTGTACAAATAATTAACCATACTCTTTATTTTCAACATTTAAAGCATCGCATTTCCATTTATCCGATATATCGAAAACCAATAATTATCAATCGCAGAATGATATACGTATACGTGCATTTTCATTTATATCGCGCAAAATGATAATCCGCTCTGATTCACGTGCATGTCACTTCACAAAGAATTATTCGAAATCGCTTTACATAACGCTATTTATCGCTTTCCGTTCGAAGCTCGATGGTCCTCTTCGATGAAACAAATTAATCAAATATTGCGCTGATAAATACTCTTGACAGTTCGTACTATTTCTGCAGTTACTAATTTGTACATTTGTGGAGATGCACCGCCGTGACGCTTGCATAACCGCCCATGGAAACAGTCACGGTTTCTATGTGTATCCCGATCATCCTGCCATTATATATATTATTTGCTTCTCTCCGAACGAATAATCGATTATGAAACCCCATATGGCCAATAAACTATTCATATTGTGACGTCGATGCGATATTTCAATTTACTCGATACTATTTAAATACCTCATTACAACAATTACTCGCTTATGCAGAATTAATTAATGCTTATATTACCACTTGTTCCCGTATAAAGCGTGGATAATCGAATTCCCGATGAATTGGTGGTCGCTAAATCTTTCTTTTGATTTTCTCTCGGAGTACTGAACGCGATTCGGACGAATTCGAGTGTTATCCGAGAGTTCGATAGGGAAAGCGTCTGCGATGGAAACTCGATTTTCCGCGAATGCCCCCTCGGCGGATTGTTCAACCTGGTTTGCGTGTGTGCAACGTAATCGCATTTATAGAAAATCCCCACTGGCCCTTTCAAGAATCCGCTCTGCGATGCGATGAGCGAAACGACGCAGCGGTCGCAGAGCTGCTCGTGGGATTCTATTTTAAACACTCCCGATAAATTAAATCACATAAAGCGCTCACGAGCAAATAAAATCGGAACATGACAATGTCTATTTCTCTCGCGTAGCAAGAACTTCATTATTAATTCGCCAAAGTTTTTTTTTTCATTTTGCTATTGTTCGTTTGTCAGTATATCACAGAATTTGCGTAATATTTTTATAATCTCCGTAATATTTTTATAAAATTCGCAAATATGAAGTTTTTCTTACCTGAATATCGGAGAGAGTGGCACGGGTGTGATGGCTAAGACGGCAGACCATGTCACCAGTATCACCATAATCGTAAGAATGGCAACGGAATGGCGAATTTAGGCACAATTCTCGGCATTCATCGGATGTGCCGACATCCTGATAAACGGAGTCCACGGTCTTTAGTATTCGGCCGGTCAGCTTCTTAAATTCGCAAAGTTTCACTGGCTCTTCCACGCAATGGTTTTCCAAATAATCCATTCCCTTCGCTGCCTGAAAGGCATTTGAACCGGCAACAGTCAACCTATCCATATCCGATAGTTCGCATTGCTTAGTGGCGTTGACATAATTAGCAGATCTGAAATCCAAAGGAAAACTTTCATAAACGATTTGCCGTAAAGCTAATAACGAGTTACTTTAGCTTCTTATCTATGATTAGCACAGAAGATAAGTTCGTCGATAAATTATCACGAGAAACGGTTATATATAATTCTGCCGTTATGATTCATATCTTTTATCATTTCTGGAACTTTTATCAATTTCCAAAACTGATAAAAAATCCATATTGACCATCAGACAAATTATTCACGATTACAAAAATATTTCTCTTAGTCGTATAATGCAAATAGTAATAATATTTTATCTCGCACCAATAATTTTATATATTTTTATCATATTATTTTTATTGATAAAATGTAAAAATAAATATTATCTTTTAAAAATAGTTGAACGCATTTTCAAATATAAACTATCTCAACAAATATTATAACAGTCTTCTATACATGTATATATATATATGTCGCTTCTAGACAGAAAATTGAATGCGCACGGTATTCAGAAGTCAAGAATGAAAGAGAGAAATGCAATCCATTTTATTCGTCATGCACAGCGTTACTCGTCTCTCGTCTCAGTATGTAAAAACATGAGAGGACGCACGTGCTGTCTCCGTATAATCATCATACCCATGTTAATCTCGGACGGTAAGTTTAAAGAAAACACCTACGCATGAGCAAATCCGAGCGCGCATCCGGGTTTCGTTTTCAAAGTGGCAGCGGAGATGCGACGGCACGAAGTCTGTCCGCTGGAATAATTGCTTTCTGCCACACTTTACTGCGCCGTAATAATGCGTGGTTAATGATACTAAACGGAACTAAGCAAGAAACAATTAAGAATATGCTAATTTATTAACGCTCCTTTTGGGATGAAAAGAGATTTTCGACAAATTGAACATCCATTCATTCATCTTATCATTATAGATCATTGAAATGATGAAACGATGCATTAACGTTTTAAACGCCATATGAACACGATGTGATAATATCTATGAGCGATCGACACTCGAATTTCCTATTTATTATAATTAAAATTTTCTATTTATTGAAATTCCTTTAATTTAATTTAATTATATGATTAGTGAATGTTCCGATAATATATTCTGATTAAGTTATAACAACAATAAATTGATTTCCGAAACATAAAAATCCACGAGAAAAATCTTAATCTGAAAAAAATCCATATTGACTATCGGAAAAATTATTCACGATTACAAGAATATTTCTCTCAGACGTGTAATGCGAATAGCAATAATATTTCATCTCGTCCCAATGAAAGAAAAAATATTTTTTTAACCGTAAATAACTTCTGACGGTCAATATAGATTTTTTCAGTTTCGGAAATCGATAATAGTATCGGAAATGATGGAAGATTTGAAATATGAAACGGCATAATTATTTGTGGTTACAAAAATATTTATCTCGAACCTGCATTGCGTACATATACTAGTCACTATAGAATTGTTCTGTAAACATTTATATTGCAACTTTATACATATATCGGTGGGAAATGATAGTATTTTATTCATACAGTGTGCAGAACAGTCAGTAACATATTTTGATATATTTTTATTGAATCTTTCTCTATATTCATTGCATGATATTCCTGTATATGATTATGTTCAGTATAACTATATTTTGGTATATTTCATACCGATAGTTTGCTTAATTAAAACGGAATATTTCGTGTTGACAATTGCTTTATGACCAATACAAACGCAGCATACATATATGTTTCGTTCACAAAAATTAAATTTTAGAAAATTATACAATGGCTGCAGTAAATCCAATCTCTCGTAATCTAACTAATTTTCTCGAAGTAAATGATTACTCTTTCGAACAATTGAGAATTTTCCACCATAATTACTTATAATCTGTTTTCTCGGGTCTGCAATTTTGTAAATCGATATAGGGAAACGAGAAGATATTAGGGGTAAAGGCGTAGAACGCGCTGTCCATTAAAACATGTGCGGTCGCATTCTTGTCGCAACCGCAACTTCCTCTATACGCGTCCGCTTGATGTAGCGCGCGTAAACGCGTGTTCAACATACGCAACATACTTTCAAGACAAGAATCCAGGAAAATTGCGGCTCCGGTTCTTTTGTATCTCGAGATCACGTCTTCACCTCTAGCCGCTCTATAATCCGAGATTACGTATTCCCCGCATGGAACATTTCCCAGATAATCCGGAATACTTTTCGGCTTGGCCGACACATTGAAATCATTACCGTCTTTTCTCCCTTCCGAAAGAAAAAATTGGAAGGACTAAGCAAAGACGAAAATCGCAGACAAGACTTTCGTGGCATTCTCAGATGCTCAACCGGCATCATCATCGAATCAAAGTTTGTCTTCCGACTGGTATCCGGACCGACGATGGGGTGGAAGCCGCTCCCGCGGGGCTCCAGCAGGGAAGAGTGAGGCCACCAAATTTATTCCACGTCGCTCCATCGATTTTGGATTATATTGCCTTAAGACTTGAATAATATTCATGGGTGCCACGTTATGATTTCAATATTCCCAGCACTCCGTCGTGCGGAGGCGAAGTCGAAAAATCACCGCGATCTTATGCGGTCGGGCGCGATAAACCCCGGGACTCGATCGAGAAATATAATCGAATTGGTAGCGGCCGTCTGTAGTTCCCCCGCGATTATCAATGTATCTCTCGTCCTTACATATTCCGTCCCTCTACGTTGCCATTTCGTGAATCGATAGCCATCGATGGGAAGGGGGAGGGGAAAGGGGCTACCACCGTGAACAGAGCGCGATACCGCGACAATGGTCCGCAGTAAAACCGATGACGCGAAATGAATGGGTCACGAAAAACGCGTCCCCACAGCTTTGTTTCATGGCGCTGGTGCATCAAATATATGTATATGTGAATGAATATTTGCTCGTTAAATCAACAAGTTTTGGTCCAATTGTTCATGATTCAAATACAATAATTGTCCGATTCTGTATGCTGCCTCCCCTCCTATCCCTCATCCTTTCGCCGGCGCAATCGTTTATTACGTCGTTTATTATTCATTTTACACGCAAATACGGACAATCGCTTTTATTCGAAAAATTATTTTTAGCCTATTCACTGATTGCGCCGCGCATTGATCATGTTTACTGTCCGAAAGATTTGTCATTCATGCTTCGCTGATGAATATATCGAATCGCGTTGCATTGGATACAGCATCTCATTATCGTTGACGTGCAAGAACTATTAAAAAAGGTTTGTTTGAAACCGCGTTACCGCAACGCTGTAAAAGCTGTAGTGACGCTACTGAGTTGAAAATATATCGGATATTATAAAAACACATTGAAATTGTAGCTAACGAGTTGACGTAAGTTGCAACAAAGCTGCGGTGTCGCTAACGATGATGGAGTACGTCAATCACTCTTGCAAAACTAAAAGCCGCAATGTACCTCACAGTTTTTCAGGCATAATTTATACAGTTTATCACGAATTATTAATTATACGAGGAAAATAACTATATATGACTGACGAAAAAAAATGATGATTATCCATTGAATCGTTTTGGTACAAAAATAATGGTGATAAAGTGCTTTAAATTTCTATGACATTTTTATATCACTTTATATAATGAAAATGTTGCGCTGTAAAATGTTTTTGTCTACTGTGCTGACAGGTTGACATTGTAACGATCATGGTACGTTAATTTATAGTATAACGAGATTTATTACATTGCTTGCACGATGAATAACGTACCATGCATATATAGAAAAAATAAAGAAATTTATATAATTATCGTATAATTAGATATCGACATGCAGAATTTTGCTATAACATTAGACGTGGATGAAGGAGATGTGACCATCCTAATCCTAACTCCACGGTCTTCCAACCATGGAGGGGCACGTCCCATAGTCGAAGAATTTTCATATTGAGGTTTCCGTTTGACATTCGATTTTATGATTTACTGACTCACCATGCGGGGACTTACTTTTATTAATATTGACAGCTTTTTTATTTTTATTTTTATTTTTATTTATGTTTATATTACTTTTATAACTTTTTGGTTATTTATTTAATTGCGATTTTAACGGCGATCGTATAATATCATGTAATGTTACCCTTTATGTTCTTGCGCTGAAGAAGGTCTCAAAAAAGACCGAAACGTTCGCGAATCTTTTTCTTAGATTAATAAATTTTAATTGCGCCTTATATACTGCGCTGGCTTCTCATTGCTTTCCTAAATACGGTTTTGTGTTTATTATAATTATAAATTTAATTAATTTTTTTTTCTTTACAAATTTGAAAAACAAAGTGAAAGCAAGTTAGAATATTTATAATGTTGTGTAGTATCTTATTGTTAGTTCATGTATCAATTCTATAACTTTATAACGAATACTTTAGGGATAACTCTACGTTTGAGGCAACCTAAGAGATCTTTTCTCGTATAAAATATTTTATTCGTCGTATATCGTTAAGCTAACTTTTTGGGTGGCATTATCGTCGAGAGTCCTCTACTTAGGGAAAAACGCGAGGAGATACAGCCATTAAAGTCCCGGCCTCTGGAAGTTTATTTCGGACAGGCGATTCGGGTATCTTGCATGGTAAATTAATAGATGAAAGGGTCAAGGCATGTTTACACATTGTGTTTCGTACTCATATCTCCTTCCATGTCTATCGTTTCCCTAACTAAATTGATTTGTTAGCAAGAATTTGATTGAATTCTTTTTCACAATATATGGTAAATATTCGGATTAATTTACATCTCATGGATCGTTTTCATTTTTACATATATTGTAGTGGGAACATTCATAAGTAATACACACTTTGAATTTTGTGGCGCTCTCTTCTGGTTCCAGAGATATGCGATTTTGAAGTTTCACAGTTTTAATGCTTTTTCTCAGGTATTATAAAGTAATATTAGGAAAATTGAAGTTTGTATACTGTTGTATTTGTTGTAGAGCAGACGAAAAAGTGCTTGTTTACATTTACGGGATAGGTACACAGTCATATTATGAATATTTGGTCAATAATATGTTTTACTTATTTCTCGCAGTTCGTTAACAG